TTGCTGAGCTGTCAACTGGCCGATTGGTTGAAGATGGAGTTTATATTATGATGAATTACATTAAACTGAAAAGCATAGGGACTGCATATCGATAACCGAAAATGAAAATATAATATGTACTTGAAATAAGCGTAAAACCATGCTTGTGAAATTACAATAATCTTGATATATCGCCGCTCCACGCAACAGACATAAAGTTGCCCCCTCCCCACAAGTTATCCCTTGAAATAGTAGAAAGTCGACACTACCTCAGAAAATGACACGTAGGTCGGAAGGTGTGTTGCCATGACTCCTGCATGCATACCTTATTTTGTTAACATACGCGTTACAGTTTGTTAGTTGTAACCAACAGAATGCACGAAGACACGATTCCCAGTTTGCCCCTCAAGATGAAAGGTCCACCTTTCGAAATCGCTCTGGTTATAGGTTTTTCTATCATTTTATATCAAGACTTCTTGTACCTACGTGTGTTTCTGACATCATGAATACCCTAAGTAACGTTGTTGTCAACCATAAATATACTTTATATTTGTTCAAACTTTAAATTTTATAACATCTCACATAACATTAGTTATATTTATCTACGCAGGAAGTGCTGAAATGTATCAGTGACAAAATTGAAGCAGCTGAAGAGGATCTGGACTTTGCAATGTCTGATATTATTAAGAACTGTTACTGAAAACGTAAGTTAATAAGGATAAAATATACCAATATGTTAACACTAAATTAATCAACTATCTCTGAACTTAAACATATTATGTTGAGACATTGTATTAACTCTTCATGTATCATAACTTTCAGATTATGTAAAAAATACCAAATAATTGAAAAGGTATTGTGAATACTATTATTATTTATTAATCTGTTTAATTTTATGTTTGATTTTATAGCATAGCAGATTGGCTCTTTAATTATTCATACATTTTCCAAATTTGTTAATGTTGTGAAAATATGTTGTTATTTATTAAGATTACACTTCAGCTTTTTTCTTTTAACACATCAATATTTTAAAATGTAGCCAAAAAGTTTGGTTGTTTGTAATTAAGCACACAGCTACAAAAAGGGCTCTAGAAATTGGGTTTCGATACCCGTGAGGGGCTGCACAGAGTGTTGTAAGTACACGGGCATCCAGCTGTGCCACTGGGGGGAGGGGGACAAAAGCTAGAAAGACAATTAATAAAAACCGACATTTCCCTATATAGATTGATAAAGTTCTAAATGATTATTGGAGAGTTCGTGAGGCACCCAAACACCTTCTTTATGGCGTTTTCCCATATTCCTTAGATCAGTGGTTCCCAACCTGGGGTCCGCGTAGGTAATACCATCTCATTAAACAAGTAAGTTTTTTAATACTGATGGGTTTTTTAATTACACACTCAGTTATATATGTCTTTTATTTGATAGTGAAAAGTGGGAGAACGAGTTAATTATTAGTTAATAAAAAACAGTTTGTTGGGTAGGCGGAATCTTTGAAAAAATATGCGGTCCGTGGGTTTTAAAGAAGGAGAAAAGCAAAGGTAACGACAATATATTAGGTCGTCAAGAAATTAATGTCGCGTTTTGGAACACTTTCATTAACCAGCCCCAAAAAACGTACATCACGTATAATAGTTAAACGAACCGCTTAAACTTCACGTTAGTGTAGCATATATAACGTGTAAAGTTTAGTATACTCTAATCCCTTATAGTAATGGCACACAACGAGACACACATTCGACATGTAATGCTGTTTGAATACAAGAAGGGAAACAACGCCTTTTTCCAATGTGCATGTCGTTTTAGTTCTAACAATTAATATATATATATGACTAAATATTTTATTTTGGTACTATATAACTGTCAGAATTATTATTCCAAAGTGTAGTGTATTTGAAACTTTATAGCGAGGAATATCTGTGTCATTCCATATACAATTCTCACATACTCACCATCCTGACTGGTTGCTTTCTCATGTATTAGTTTATAAAGTGTAATAAAATGGGTATACTTTGGTCTTCTGAAATTATATTGTGTTTCTTATATATATAGTAAGAAATATTAACTTGTAAATATATAGAATCTGAGATCAACTAAAATAATGAAACACAAACATTAAACAAAGAGATCACTTTTATTTTATTCAACATGGAAAACTAACTTATAAGATAACATTTTAAACTTTTTATTTCCATGACCATAAAGCTAAGATTTATGAGCTTATGCAATCTAACGATAACAAAGTTGTGTCCCTATTATAGAACACTGGCTATGTCTTATTGTTTTCTACTATATTTGGTATTAAATAATTTGGCTTATATATGTACTGAAATATTTTTGGATCTGTGCTAAGTGAATTAAAATTAATATTTAATTATTTTAATGTTATTGATATTCACAGCTTCAACGGACCACTTAACAGCTGATGAAGACCAGCATCTACATATTACCTATAATATAATAATCTGAATCTGTCGTGGTTTCCTTCTTTTTTGAATTATGTTTAACTCTCAACTACCTTTATCTCGAAAATAAAACTATTTTAAAGCAACAACACTGTTGAATTTGTAGCTTTTTTTATTACATGTACGTTGTCTTTTCAGTGTCTTGTTTAAAGAAATAAAATCCGGTCTTTCCTATTTCTACTAAATAAAAGTCTCCTAAATTAGTGTTACGTAAAACATTTCAATGAAGGGGGAAAAAAGACATCTGGAAATTATGTGTTGATAATTCGTTCTTAGGATATTTTTATTAATTGTTTGTTTGAAGGTAAGCACAAAGCTACACAATGGGCTATCTGTGCTCTGCCCACCACGGGTATCGAAACCCGCAGATTTTTATTAATGTGTTTCAGAAACTTTCTTCACACAAGATGGAGCTACATGCTATTAAAGAACTTGTTTGTGGTTCTGCACAAAGAAATTTATCTACGACAGGTATCAAAACTCGATTTCTTCACATGTTAAAGTAGTCCAAACTTATAGTTAAAAGGATACAGCAAATACGTACACTATTATTTATGTTTGTACGGGTACAAATGTTATGACGTAATTTTCGTATTCAAGATTTTTTGATATGATAATGATTGCTTTCATAATATTCCGATAACATAATTTCTATACAAGCAGAAAAACTATATTTCTGTAACCCATTTTCATCATTTATAAAGTACATTTCAAGTTTAATATCCATAAACCATGTTAATAATCAAGTATGAAACCGACTGTTGTGAGCTTGGTTTATTATTTACTATTTATCGTAGACACATTGTTAGTATGTTTGATATGTGTAGAACTAATATATCATTTTCTAGAAGGATTTAAACTGATCTTTAACTTATTTTATATTTAAACAACTCTGATGTGTGTATTTCTGAAAACAGCTTCTTATCTAATACAACGTTCAAGGGTGTGTTTATTTGTAAAACAAAACATTTCCTATCTCACTAAACTTGGTAGATATAATATTGAATAACAAAGTAATTGAATAATTGGCTAGGAGGATAAAAAGGCTAAGTGTGTGTTAGAAAAGCTTGCGCGCAGTAAAATGTCGTTAATAACTCCTTTCTCTAAGGTGTCAAGTTTTGAAACTAAATTTGTTTCATTCTTGTAGCCTACAGTGGCAGAGCGGTATGTCTGCGTACTTACAACGCTAGAATCCGGGTTTCGATACCATTGTGTATTCCTTCTTGTATTCACAAAATTTCTAAGTGACTCTCGTGCACATTTCTTGGTATCACGACATTTTACTGCCGGAAAATAATTATGTTCTCAAAAACTTTACATGAAATTAAAAACATTGTATTAATCACTATATTAAAAACCTCACGTTTATTAGTAAAATTATATTACACTCGAGGTATAACGAAACTTTTTCAAATATAGTTTGTGATCTCATTCTAAATAATTTATTTTCCCCATTTATAACTTTCATATTTTATGAATAACAAAATTGTTTCATTTTTAGATAGTTCCCCCCGGTGGATCATCTGTAAGTTTATGGATTCATAACGTTAAAATTTGGGGTTCGATTCTCCCTCAGTGGAAAAAGCGCGGGTAATCTACTGTGTAGCTAAAACAACCTGAATATGACCATTGTTACAACTGTACTGGTTGTAACTGGTTTACTCAGTTTGTAAACACCTCAATGTTATAAGTAGGTAGATGTACTTATGTAAAAACTAAAATGAAGACAAAATTATAACTTCATAAATTATGCTCAGATCCAAGTTCAGAAAAAAAAACTTAATGATAATACAATATGCACAACTCAAACTTAAGATGTTCAAAATTATAATTTAGGAATGGTTTAATATATGCACGTTATGTCAGCACTGTAACATGGAACATGAACATAAAGATTAATAATGTCGGTTTAGACAGTGACATTGACTTCTACTTTAAATAGTAAACAAATTTATTTCATACATGTTCTTTAATAAAATTGTTTTCATTATAATATATAAAAATGTGAATTTCTTTAAACATTCATTATTAAAGTTTCTCTCTTTAGCAAATAATGCAACATAATTATAAAATTTTACAAAAGAAAATTTGACAAATACGGAGCATTAAAGTAATAAAAAATAGAGATAACACAGTGCACACTAGGTGGCGACATTTAGTAAAATTATCAGACCATCGTCTTTACATGAACTAGTTATATTACTATTTACAAACTATTACCTTCTTTACCAATTAAAAGTAAATATATATATATAATTAAAAATAGAGAGAAAAACAAAATATTACACAGCATATCCAAACCTCAGATGAAAAATAATTAATTGTACCCTGGTTTTTGAGGTACTGGCCGAAGTAAGACCCAAATTACGTTGAGGGTACACTGTCTATCCAGGTTTGCGGGCCTCAATAATAATAAAAAGAGCAGATGTGGGTGATGTAACCCACAACGTCCCACATCTTTACCACCTTTCGCTGTCTGTAGTCTGAGTAGCTGTGAATGTATGATCATTTATTTTACCATAAATATTAATATTACAATAATTATTAATTATTCTTTTATCATAAATATTAATATTACAATAATTATTAATTATTCTTTTATCATAAATATTAATATTACAATAATTATTAATTATCTTAATATCTAAATCTGAATAATTTACATCAGTATTTTATATAGAGGTGTTTTCGACTTGTAGAACTGTAGTATAAATATTAATGATATAATTACTTATTAATGGATTATTGATGCTATTTAAATCTTACAACGCTAGAAACCGGGTTTGGATACCCGTGGTGGGCAGATCACTGATAGCCCATTGTGTAGTTTTGTGCTTAACTTCAAACAAACAAATCATCAATATACCTATAAGTTAGAGAAAATTATCCTGGATTTGAATTATTATTATGGAACTGGAATTAATCCATTCATCTAATCATGCCTTATCGATTAGTACTTATTCGGGCCCCGGCATGGCCAGGTGGTTAGGGCAATCTGTGGGTCGCGGGTTCGAATCCCCGTCACACAGAATATGCTCGCCCTTTCAGCCGTGGGGGCGTTATAATGTGACGGCCAATCCCGCTATTCGTTGGTAAAAGAGTAGCCCAAGAAGTACACTGCTAAATTATGGACGGCTAGCGCAGATAGCCCTCGTGTAGCTTTGCGCGAAATTCAAAACAAACAAACATTTTATTTTATAATTTATGACACTTACTTTTGAATTTGTAACTGATATGTGTGTTTATATGTATGTATGTATATGTATGTGTGTTTATATGTATGTATGTATGTATATATGTACGTATGTATGTGTGTTTATATGTATGTATGTATATATATGTATATATATATGTATGTATGTATATATATATATGTGTGTGTTTATATGTATGTATGTATGTATATATATATGTGTGTGTTTATATGTATGTATGTACATATATATGTGTGTTTATATGTATGTATGTATGTATATATGTGTGTTTATATGTATGTATGTATGTATATATATATATGTGTGTGTGTGTGTGTGTGTGTGTGTGTATTATTTTATTAACGAGATTAGAGGAGAATCATCTATTGACAATTACCTTCCAATAACACCCAGTTAGTGCCGTGTGAATTGTAATTCCCGTGTGCGTGAAATGTTAAAAGCATTTTTGTTATTAGTATCAGTAAATGGACATATAAAAATAGAAACATGTTGACAATTTTAGTAATTTTTAACGTTTCTGTGAAGTCACACGTGACCACATCCTTATTATTTCGTATTTTAGCTTAGATAGTGTTTTAAAGAACTTTTCTGAACTCAATATACTTGGTTTATACGACATTTATTGGTTATTTTAATCAGTGTATATGACAAAATACTAGAGACAAATAAAATATTTCAGAACATGAAAATGTAAAGAATGGAGATAATTTATTATCTTTGAACTTACAAACGTCTCTAGATACTAATAATGCTTGGAGACGGCTTGAATGAGTAATGAAGAAAAACTTTAATATAAGTTTAACATAACAGCAAATGTACAACGTTTCGACAGGGTTTTATCATCATCATTTCTGTGCAACTTATCGCATCAAAATGATTCAATGTACAGAGCTCAAAAATTTTACTGATATAAACTGTAATGTTTTTTATATATTAAAAGTGCTATCCTTTATTGAAAAAATAACAGTTTTTTTTAATTCCATTTTGTAGTACTATGTTTAAAAATTACATCAATAAAGATTTAATAAAACCATCACGTAGTCCTAGTGAAAGTTGTGTTATTTTTGTGAGGAGAGTATTTTTATTTAAAATTGTGTTCTTTGGTAAAGAAATGGGTGCTGTACATACCATGGTTATTTTTCAAATTGTTTGAATCTTGAATACCCAAAATGTGAAAATGTTTTTTATGAATTTTGTTTGTGGTGTCATTCAATAGATGGCGCAACATTTCGCTATGTCCATTATAGTAAATTCTGTTTAAGAAGTTAACACACAGGATCATCTACAAAAGTTGTAATGTTTTCGAATAGTTGACTATTCTTCCTCAGGAGAATAAAGTCCATTATAGTAAGATTGTGAAATGTTTGCAATGGTCTAAACAAAACACAACTACAACCAGGACCAAACAAAATCAGTTTATTACAATATAACAACAGAAATCCAAAATGAAACTTTCAAACAACTAAAATACAAATTTTATCGCTTATATTTTGCTTACAAATTTTGAAGGGATGCGACAAGAATTATCTGTTGTGAATTGGGCAGCTGAGTTATTTGAAGATACTCATCAAATGCGGAATTTTTTTAAGTATTCAAGATAAACATATTCCTGATAGAAAGAAAAGGTTGGCTGCAAGTTAACACCAGGTTAAAAATTAAAGATAAAATTTAAGAAAAGCATAAGCAATTTAAATTGACTGGTATGACAGGAGATTTAGAAGATCAAGAAAGTTGGTCAAACAGGAAATTGGAACATCAAAATGAATGTATGAAAAAGGCTGGCTGAAAATGTAAAAATGAACAGTAAGGATATCTTTAAATACATTAAGGGTAAACAAAATGTTAAGATGATTATGAGATGGCTGGTTTATTAA